AGATAATCAATAATTCTCTCTCATCATTGATGTTTCTATCTCTCTCTCTCCATCTTCCTGCCTCTCTGAAATCAATAAAAAAAAATTTTTAAGTTATAGCTGGAGATAAAAGCAAGGAAAAGATTACCCAAGGTCTGGAAGGTTGTGGTAAGGAGTTTGACTTTATCCTAAATGTAATGGGGGAATTCTTGGTGGGTTGGAGGAGAGGAATTACTAGTACATGGTTCAATTCTTTACTCAGTCACTCTGACCACTATATGGAGAATGGGATATTGGGGGGCCGGATGCAAACAAGAAGCCAGTTCTCCAGTTAGAAGGCTATAATGGCGGTGGCTTGGATTAGGCTGGTGGCTGGCAGTGAAGATTAGATAGAATGGATTCCAGATATAATTTGGAAATAGAACCAACAGGACGTGCAATTGGATGGAAGATAGGGCATAATGAGAGAGAGGAATCAAGAATGACCATGAGGTTAAAAACATGAATAAGAAACCATCTACAATCACTTCTCAAACATTTTATGATTTGCCTTGAAATTTTTAACTGAAACCCTCTTCAGTGAGTAGTGTGAGGGGAAGAGAAGGCCACGAAATCGTGGCTCTTCTTCAAGGAACAGGATGTCAGTGCAGAACTGAGACTTTGTATCTTTTCTGGGGGTCAGTCCTCAGCATCCTTTGGTTGGGAAGGAATCTGGAACCCTTGGTATCTAGCTGCCTCGATGGTTCTCAACCAGTCACATCCAGTTGGCTTCCTGTGGAATAAGACGTTCAGACGTACCTACCACCCACTTTCAGTAGCAGCAGCAAAACAAATATGTCTGATACATACTCACTAAATCCTGGAATTCAGCAACCACAGAGGAACTCCTCAAGCCTCACAGCTGATGTAGACTCAAGCCCTTCAGTCATCAGAAATCTGACTCTATCTAAGCTTTGTACAGAATCCAAGGCATGGGCATAAAGCTGCTTAAAGTTATAGGACGTCAGAAGCAAAATGAAAAGTCATGTATATTATTGAACTGTGCAGACAGTTTAAGATCATCAATGTTAGTCTGAGCCACAAGCGTGCTGCCAATTTTTTCAGCATCCCACTTATCTTTCGATCTTTTGATTATGGCCCCTGGCTTCTGGGACCTCCCTAAGGCTTCTATCTGGTTGATGCCAGACTGGGACGAGAAGACGTGGGAAGCTCTTGACCTGACCCTGGCCTTTCTCCTTTCTCCTTTGCTATTTCCTGTCTCCTGTTTTCTTTGCAAGAGCAAATCTTGTTCACACATCCCCAAAAGTAGGAGCCTTGGGTTAGAAGGAGTATGGAACCTGGGAGAATAAGAAAGAACACGACCCACTTTATATTGAAATAAAATGCTAATTACAGTAGAAACCATTGTTGGAATAGCTAACTTACACGCCTAGATTGTGATCTGGGAGCCAACAGGACCTCATGCAAAGAGCAGAGGCCTAAGGTCAGACAGAGCTGGTGGGGATCTCAAGGTACCACTTGAGAGCTAGGAGACTTGGGCAAGGTTACAAAACTTCCAAGCACCTATCTTCCAGGCATTCTGAAATGATCAAAAACCATTTAGGTAAAGAGCAACCATAAAGAAACAGCAGCTGCCTTTATAGCATTTCCTAACTTATAATGTACTTTTGCCTACGTGGTTTCACTTCCTACTAACCTTTAGTAAATTCAAGTCTTCCATTGTTGACTAACGCAGCACCCCAAAGTTCTTCTTATTACGAGATGTCAACTATGTCTCACCATGACTTCCCTCATTGGTAGAGCCGCAGTGATGAGTAGAGTCACAAGACCTGTCTGGGCTCAGTGGTGATGTCCTAGGTAATGTGAGCACTATGGGTACAAGAGTGTTGTAAGGACTGCATATAGTTGCCAACCCTACTCCAGCCTCGTCTCTTGATGGACAGCAGCTAAGTGTCACTTCTCTTTCTAAGGCCGCGAGATAAGCTGAAGGCAGTTTTGCAAGGGGTTCTTTCAGTTCAAAGATAAATATGCTTGTTCTCTAATTCATTCCAGGAATCTCTGAAACATGGCCATCTGTGTGCCTATATTTGAGTTCATGTGCAAAAAAAGCCCACCTGTTTATTTGCATAACGCCCACCTCCAAAACAAAAGGCCATTCAAAGACACCATTAGAACTCTTACTCTGAAGCTGAGACAGCAAGCTAGTCTGTGACAGAGCCTTAACTGCATCTGGTTTATCAAGTGATTCATTTAACTGCTACATGGAGCTTGAGAACTTCAAGTGCCAAAAGGGCTCAGGCAACAAATGTAAATATGTGAATGGCAGGTGGAAGGCAATGGGGCTGGGGAGACTGGTGCAATAAACTGTGCATGCCAACCTGCAGGCATTCAAATTGAATGGCTTTTCTTTAAACACTATGGAAGATAAATAAAAATATATCTACTAGTATAGGCCACCTGTCTGCTACTTTGCTCCAATATACCATTAGCATCTTTTAAGTGTTTTGACACATTCATTTTCTAAATGAATGGCCTGAAAATGGTTCTCTGATTTGGAAAAGTAAAAGATACAGGAAAAGCTTCCTAACGAAGGAATAGACAAGGACTTGTGAGGTCTAGAGGTGTGACAGCAAATCCAATCCAGGAGAGCTTTCTGGAGGAGGTGGCAGTGAGCTAGGAGAGATGAAATGCTCCAGTTAAGCAAAGAAGAGAAAAACCTCGCCAGATAAAAGAAATGGAAATGGGCAAAAAGAAGAGAGCTTAGAGAACTTTGGAAAAGTACTAGTAAACAGTCCCATTTTGTTAAAGAATGGGATACAAAATTTTGGACTTAGAGGAAAAAGTATGAAAAATCATCTGAGACCAGATGGTCAAGTCCCTGGACTGCCAAGCTAAGGCGTTTGGCATGTATTGGTTGGGGTTGGAAGGTGGACAGGCCAGAAAGCTTTGGAAATGAAATGGCCTAATCAGAGAATGGGTTTTCCAGGTGATAAATCTCCTGTTGATCTCACAGACTTTTTCTTAAGCATACTTTTTTCCCTAGAGAATTTCAATCTGAAAAATCATGCCATTATTCTTAGCATATGTTTGTAAAAGTAAACTTAATCACCATAAATGTAGAAAAAGGGGCATTAAGATTAGTAGCAAACCCACCAGATGTGGCCATCTGTTGCTGTGGCTCTGAGTAGAGATTAGAAAAAAAAAAAAAGAAGCATTTTCAAAAACATAGAGGCTATAGCTAAAAATCATATTTTCCAAGGTAAGTTTCCACCAGTGACTACTTATCATTTTACTTGTCTGGCATTTTCAATAAAATACACCATCTACAGGCCATCACGAACAGCTATCATCTGTTGGATTCTAAATAGTATGAATTAAAAAGGAAGAAACAGAGGAAGGTAGGAGGGAGGAAAGGCTATGCCACTTGTCAGGAAATGTAAATCAAATGTCAGAATTGACCTTTTCAAAAGTAATGATGAAGAAAAAAGAAAAACATCAATCTCTTTTGAACTTTTATGAACAAGTGCTGGAGGTTAAAAAACATTAGAATTTGGAGTAAAAAAAGGCTATATTACAATATCAACTCTCTCCCTTTATTATGCACTAGAGGCCTACTGCACAAAATTTGTGCATGGGTACGGTCCCTAGGCTTGGCCTGTGATCAGGGCAATCTTCCCCGACTGCCAGCAGCCGGCCCCACCTCCTGCTGCCACCCACCCTTGGTTCCCCGTTTGCCATTGGGCAATTGGAGCCTGCAGGCCGAGGGGAGGGACCAAGAGGTGGTCAGTGCACCTCACAGCAACTGGTTGAGTGGTCGTTCTGGTCGTTCTGCTGTTCGGTCTATTTGCATATTACTCTTTTAAATATATAGACTAGAGGCCCGGTGCAAGAAATTCGTGCATGGGGGTGGGGGGGGGCCTCAGCCCGGCCTGCACCTTCTCACAATCCAGAACCCTTCAGGGGATGTCCGACCGCCGGTTTAGGCCCGATCCCACAGACGGACATCCCTCTCACAATCCAGGACTGCTGGCTCCCAACCGCTTGCCTGCCTGCCTGCCTGATTGCCCCTAACCGCTTCTGCCTGCCAGCCTGATCACTCCCTAACCACTCCCCTGCCGGCCCGATCATCCCCACTGCCCTCCCCTGCTGGCCTGGTTGCCCCCAACTGCCCTCCCCTGCCGGCCATCTTTTGACCACATGAGGGCGACCATCTTGTGTGAGGGTGTGACAGTCAATTTGCATACCACCGCTTTATTATATAGGATTTCTTTCAGAAAAGAGGATGAATGTTCGCATTTGCTCCGTTTCTGAGTCTCATGTATACATGTCCTTCTCTTAGGTATTCAGTGGTCGTTCCTAATCTAAGGGTGTCACAGTGAGGTTAGCATCCAGACATGAGAGACAGACTCTGTA